GATAAAAAAAAGCTTTTCTAATTTTAACTCATTCTGGTATTCTCTCAGTCAACGAACATACTGTTAGTTATTGTCAAACTATCCACCCACTATTCCACTACACATCTCACACTTTGAAGACACTACTTCATCTTTGGAACACTGTACCTGCTTTGTCTGTGTGTTTGTGTGTTTGTACACGTGTGTGCGTGATGGAATTCAGACGGGGTTGTTCGCCTACTGAAGGCTAAACAACAGCTTAGACTGACATCCACCCCATGCGGCACATCCTGAAGGGGTGCAAGAAGTACGTGCAGATCAAAACAAAGACTACTCATTCATCTGGAAGAAGGCTATATAATTACAAGACAACTCGACATCCCTCACCCCAAAACTAATCCGGCAAAAGAGTTGCACTTAAGGATTGGCGAGAAACATTGTCTGATCCGCACCCCCATTTCCATTTTCATAGTTCTCTAAGAGATTATCACCTTTTCTTGGAACAGCTAGTAGATAATTACATTTGTCACATGTGGAATGGGATGGAAAGATGGAAAAGAAAAGCGGGATGGGAATGGAAGTTGACTAGATAGGTTCATTCGTAAGTTCTGAAGACAAAACGTTTGATAAAAGTGTTAAAGTGGGATTCGTAGGTAACTTGTGCCTAGCTGGAAAGAACTGTGAATTTTAGTAGTAATTATTTCAAGGAATAAAATATTTTAGGAAGCCTTGTGCAATTACTTACTACTTGTTGCAGAAAACCCCAAGAACATTTTCCTTTACCTCGTGTACCAATAGAAACTTTCTTGATCAATGTAGCCTTTCTTAAAACGTGATCAGAGATTGTGAATCATCTAAATTCCTAATTTTATGAGTGCTAAGCGCCGATGTGAATCATAATTTTGTATCAACCCTAATATAGGATTGAACTAACGTTATGAGCAAATCCTTTACAGGTCATAAATATGTGGTTTAATGGTCATTTTACTGACTGACAAGTACGTCCTCACCAAAACCAACCAGACATCCAAATTAATTTCATTGTTTAAATTCCTGAAGTATGAAACACTTGGTAAATTAAAACGTTTGACTTTGGTCCTTTTTGATGCTAACAACCCAAAAGCATCTAAAACGTACTCTTTAAATAATTCTCCAATAAAGTGCGGGATGGTGTTAGCGTTTAGGAAGAAAATTTCCATCTCTAATCACGGAGGGTCCACCTATCCACAAGGCAAGCGTAGTTTAAATGCAATCTAATAGTCATTCAGATTAACTTGATTCTTTCCAATTTAAAACTCCTCTTAGACAGTAATTTGTCCCCATTTATAACAAAGTCAAGGTTTTGCTTTCTTGGGAAGTCACATGGTGATGGTAATCTCGATCGCTTCTCCACGTGGTGTGCATGTGATCCGTGCCTGTGTGGTGGGCAGCATTTCCACACGTTCGAAAATACCCAACGAGATTACTATCCATGTCACCTAGTCACATAATACATGCGCTTGCTAGAATAGGCTAAAAATCTATTTATCCTAAATTAAATGAATGAATGTTGCATATTTTCAGGCCATACAGTGGTGCGGTCGGAGGGTAGGCTTTGTTGGACAGGCTTGCACTAATACGCAACAATAAGGCACTCAATTTACTGTACCAGTTCCATCATAGGACCGGTTTAGTGGAATTTTCTCCCATAAGTAGGTGAAACGCTTCAAAGCCTTCAGTGTGTTGTTAGGCGCATAAGCCTTGCACCTGGAGAAACATTTGTGAATTCTTGTTCATTTGTGAACTTTGTACTAACTACGAAGGCACGTCAATACTAGAGATTTTCTTTTATTTGAACGCTACTTTTGTGTTTTCTTCCTTTGGATTAAAAGTCTGCACTTTGGTTTGCTAATTTGAGGATCGGTGGTGTCAAACGGATAAGGGATTAGACTTTGAGCAGGTGAATCAAGTCAGTGTAGAAGATGATAACCTTAGATGAGGCACCATATTAAATTCTCCTTAAGGTAAAAACGGGTGACTATTTTGTTAACCCCTAGTAGGGTGGACCCCGTGTTGGAGTGCGGTGTCCCCCACCTGTCTCTCCACCAGAGGTGTTTGGGTGTCGCGAAGATGTATCGAATAGTGCAATAAAACAGTCTGACCGTCTGGACACACATTTCAAACGTAACATAGTCAACGTGGGTGGTTTGTGCGCGCCTCGCAGAGCTCAGTGCCACACAGTTGTACTTGGTGGAAGGTGGACAGACCTTGTGTGACATTCTGATTTATGGAAGTTGTTGTTTTATCCGCTACTTTAAAATTTAAATGGAGAACTAAGGCCTCTGCGCTAAGGGGACGTGAAATAAATTTTGCCGCAATTTGTTTAATTCTATTACACCTTTGACTTAGACTGGAGGAGAAGGGGGGGCGAAAGGGGAGGAGAAGACATGTTCTCTCTTTGAGTTTGAGGTAAAACCATCAAAAATCCCATATTCCAGAGATTGAATGTCCGCACAGACTTTGTCCCACGATGGCTAAAAGCCTAGTCTTAATAACATTATCAAAGACAACTTCTAACCAAATGAAAACGGAACAGAACAGCGTCAGCTAGATGTACTCCACCTTCTGAAATCACAGATATCAGCAAAACCAAAAATATTTTGTCTAATTTTTAAAGTTCTACAAAAGTAAAGCATTTGATCAGTTTCTCTTAATGATTGGCCCCAGGAAGATGACGACTAAAAATCTTTTCAACCATTAAATGTTTTTCTGTGCGAGTTTACCTGGCTTCTAATAATAAAAAACATAGATCATCAAAAGACATGAAAGTTAGGCTAAATATTTCAGAAATAGTTCAGAAAGTAAAATTCTTCAGGTATATCTAACTTTAAATAAGTGTAATGAGGGAGTAGTACACATTTATGAAATCCCCAAGCACCGATAAATACCTGACCAGCACTTGACTTGATTAAGGTTATAAGCAGTCGGGGTGGAATATTAAACAGATGCATAGGATGGAGATTGTGGGAATGACCCACAACGGTTTGGAATGCAGAATCCCCTACATCCTGACAGGACTTCGATGTGCATCATCATCCCCTTGCTCGGACATATTCATACTCGATCATGTTCTGTCATGGGCCAAATTTTCCTCCTCCCCTACTTGCATACAGGACAGCATTATAAACCTATTTCGAAAACTGAACCTTCACGATAAGTCGAAGATGAAAACAGCACCATTTGCCTCCCTAATGACATTCGGAGGGCATTTTGGGCACAATGCAAGCAATTTAATCAGATTTATTAAATGGTGTCGTGAAATTACTTTTTACAGGAACAGGCAGTTGATTCGGAGACGCTAGCCTCTTTTTCAGTCGGAAATACCTGCTTCTACTAGTTAGGCCAATCCATTTCCCAAGTTACTTCTTACTGCGATTTAAAACCTTTGCCTTGCATTGTATATACATTAAAATTTTACTAAGCTGAATTTTAACAAGTATAACAATTGAGTGGAAAAGCACAGTAAAATCTTCTGTTTTTATGATACGTCACACCGCACTTTCGATCTGGAATAAAGGTATTCACGCCACTATTCGGTTTTTCCTCTGTGCAACAATTGAATGCAAGATAAATTATCATCCTCGTTTCGAATATTTTGTTTATATCTCGCCTACTTGTAATCAGCGGAGTCAAAACTTTTACGACAGAATATCCATAAGCATGCTACCTTAGCTGGAGCAAATTATGTCTCTCAGGAAGATAAGCAGATTCGAAAGTTGTTTTTATAGACAACATTAAGGTTTTATTGTTGAATTTTTCTGCGGGAAGATGGGGCCAGGTATTAAAGGCTCGAATGCACCGATGAGTGGAGGTTTTATCCCGCGAACTGTGGCTTACCGATGGCACAAATTTAAAAATGAAGACACACAGATGGGAACCTTTGAAACTCTTGGTACAACATTCGTGTCTTGTGGTCAAGATATAAAAGTCAAGTGCATTAAGAGGGATTTTATGATTGAGTGCGAAGATAAGAACATAAAACCGCACCATCGCAGCATTTGAGCATTCGTATCTTACACACGCTGCTTTGCGGGTAAGCCTCAGCAATAAATAGATTTTAGAAAATTTAAATATGGGAGAATATTCATACTAGCAGCAAGGGCATTTGTAAATTGTTTCCTTTATACCTTTATGGTATTCTAAATTTCTTTAATTTTAGTGCTTGTTTACATTTGCTGAGAGACAATACGGACTTTTCAGAGCAATTTTTTTTGAATCTGATCAGTATCGTGTATATACTAGAGTGTGCATTCCTCAAGAGCAAGTTGCTGACTGTGCTTCTATATTTCGGACATCTAAATCCAAGCATTCAGGCTAGCGTTTAAAAGTACCCTTTGATTTATAAGCAGAGCCTCTTGATAATCAGATTAAATGACTGATCCTCACAAGCCATGGTCCACTTTTAAATGAAATAGACGATTTTCCTAAATTCAGATTCACCATACATGATTTGATTTGAACTCCAAATAACGTTATCATCTGATAATCTGTAAGCATAACATTGCCTCATTCTTTATAAAACCTTTCCTATTCACTAATATACTCTTTTACATGGCGCATTGTTTTAATTCAAGGGTTTCAGATATGTCACTTTTGTAAGAAAATATCTAATTTCCAACCAGAGAATAGAAGTTTGCAAACGCATTTATGACCCAAAAATTAACATTATGATTTGATATCCCCCATTTCATCTATTGGACATTTTGACATAGCTGAAATCGTCTTTAAATCATAGAGGCAAAAACTCACTTTGATGAAGCCGGCGAAAGGCACTCTCCTGTTCGATCCCGTTGTCGTCTGTTCTTAAACCAGTTGGAGACCTGCACAGCAGTGAGGCCGGTGCGTCGTGCAAGCTCCTTCTTCTCCCATTGCGAGGGGTAAGGATTCTCAGCGTACTGCTGACGCAGCAGCCTTCGAGATTTCTCTTTGAAGTAGTAGCTCGTCTCCTCCCCATCCCAGATGGTGGGTGGTAGGGGATGCTTCTTCCGCAAGCGATGGCGTCCCACCGCACTCAGTGAACAGCCTCGTGCCTGCTCAGCCTCCTCGTAGTGACCTCGCAGCCAGAGCTCCTGCAACCGCGCGTGGTGACGTGGTGCAAAGTAACGTGTCTGAAGGATGGCGAAGACGTCTTGATAGCGGCCCTCCAGCAGCGCCAACACCGCCAGGCACTTCACCACCGTATCGCTTTGCTGAACACTCGGAGGAGCAGCATCGCGACAGTAGGCAAGGAGGTGATGCAATCGAGCATAGTCCTCTGACTTTTGCACCACTTCGCAGAGGTAGAGTAGTTGATCGGGTGATTGAAGTTGAGCGGAGGAGTTAGTGGTGGTGGAAGACATTTCGGAAAGTGAATAACGTACCTGGTGGGGCGCAGATTACATCTGTCGTGTGCGTACGTGTGCATTCTTGTGGGCCAATCATAAGGCAGCGCGTCCACACGGGCTAGGAGGGGGCACGGGCCAATAGACAGAGGTGAAGGGGAGATGATTGACGGTGGTGGGCGCTTGGGATCGCGTCTACGAACCACAGGATAATCGCTGGACCGATGCGCTTTTTATTATTGGTAGAAGGTCCGTACCCACGCTAATTCGTGCAAAAGGTCAGAAAAAGTGAGCTTGTTATCTGGTTGCATCGGAGTACACAAAACAACGCAACTTGTACATTTCCTCGTCTGAAAGAATAACGTATAGAGAATATTTTTCGTGCAGAATTTGTATTTCTTCATTGGAGGGACGCATAGTAATTACCATTGCCAACAGATATTCGTCAATACCAATAGTAATATTTACATTGATCGTTAATACTATACTGTAACAAGTGCCTGCGCATGTGTATGCAAATGTCAAAACAGGTAATTCGTGTTTAAATTGATCTTTTTCTGCAAAGCAAAACATCGACCTTAAAAATCTGCCCCTTCAGCGCAGTGCATTTCACTGTTGCGTCTCTAAATAACTTAGACATGCTAAAGTTTGCCCTTTCCAAAGACTGACTGAAATTAAACCACTATCGGCGGCACACCAGTTTGAGACATTACCACAGTCTCTAGCATAAAGAAATAAATGAGTAGCCAATTTAAGGCTTAATGCTTGCCTTAAGTTGACCAAACTGATCAAACGGAAAGAATGAATTCTTGGCCTCAAATAGTCAGATGTAATTGTACGATAGAAAGCTCAATTTATAAACACGAACTTCAACCTCTAGAGAACATGTGCGGAAATAGAATGATACTTTATGGTTTTGCACACAAGAGAATTTGACGCAAAGCCATACATCAGCAACTGCGGCAGTGGTGCAGTCGGGAATAAAATGATCTTTCGTTTTCAACCCATACTATCCATATACCGGGAGTGTTGGTATCACCTAAAATCAGTATTAGACAGCTTAAGAATTTGATCAAACAGAGCTCTTGAATCAAGGCAAAATACCGGTTTCCTACTTTCTTCACACTTACACCAGCCGTACCTTAATTAGCTGTCATATTGCGGTTTTTAGCTCATGTTGCTAATATTTGACCTAAAAAGTTTGTATTCAATGTATGCTATCAACACTTTTTATAAGTTTTTTGGAGGACTGAGGCATCTGTAGGTTGAAATGTAGGAGCTACGCCGTTGACTCTTCCACCTCGCATATACTAAGATCAACTAAGTATTATATATATTGCAACTCGGTGTTTTTACGCATTGGTCAATGGAGGTGTGGGAGCTCTTAAGCATAAATAGGCCATATTTCTTCAAAAATGGGAAATCTCTTCATTCAGGGAATAGTTTGTTTTGCCCCTGTAAGGACCCATCTTGTAACTTGTAAACTGTTCCCCATTTTATTAATTTGATTACAAAGTACTACCACTAACTAGTTTATTTTCAATGAATTGTCCGGTACATCAGCACCTCCATTTCCTCTTTCTGTTATGATTGTGTTGCACGTACATGACCAGGAGCGGGAAGGATTGGGTCTATGAGGAACCGCGTTTATACAACATTTGAACTCGCTACACCCACCATGGTTCTCTTTTAGGCAGAAACAGATGCTGACACTTACCACTCTATTAAAATATTACATACACAGGAAGATGTGCGATCTTTGCCACATGGGCTACAGGTATAATACCATACTTGGACCATAATGATCAGATTAGATGCAAAGCTAAATTGCTTTGGGTACGGCTCCTCAAAGAAGCCAGGAATATTTTGGATAATTTATGCTATTTTCACATTCCCAGTTATCTGCGTTTTTCAGCTGATCATTTGTACCATCAATGTTCCTTCCCAAATGAATCAAACAGTTGGTTCAAAAACCCACTTTTGAATAAACATTTTAAATAGTTTTTCAATTTTTTATTAATCTTGGTGTTACAAATACTATTCAATTGTCCGTTTATCCCGTTAAGTCCTTAAAGCAGTCAGTTAGATTTGTGCGATCACATAATGCGCAATCGAATTCCAAGTGTCAACTCACGATAGCAGATTGGGACTGAGGAAATAAATTTCAGAATTTATTAAAACAGCACTGCAAAAGCAAGTATGCAATATACAGATGTGATCAAAGTAAACATTGTACAAAAAAGAAGCAAGCCACCTCCAAATGCCACAGCAGTCGTTGGTGCTACTGACTTAGCGTAAGTAGAAATGTCATGATGATGAGGAGAGATTGTAGCGGCAAGGTGTATGAAAGCCCACGTAGGTGCGGAGAGACGATCAGAACGAGGCCTCAACCGAAGAGCTGGCGAAAACAGGAGTCGCAGTAAGGCTTGCCGAGGCGCTCCTTGAAGGTGCCAGTGCTGAGCTGACGCAGACAGTAGGTACACACGAAGTGTTGCGGATGGTACCGGTTGCCGAGCGCATTGATGCATCGACTGCCCGAGATGGGCTCCTGGCAAGCTGCACACACCATGCCCAAGTTGCGACGGTGGTGCTGCTCGCAATAAAGATAACCATTCTCTGCGTAGAAGCTACGACCTGTCAGTTTCAGCCCACAATCCTAGGCGCAGAAAAGATAATTCCGTAAGTGCCGAATGTTAATTTACCATATACCTCACAAAACGAAAGTCTCAAATATTGTTATCAACAGATTTCTTTTGTATATCATTATTCAACACTACGCGAAGGAGACATTATTCTCTTTGCATTATTTACTTAAAGGACCATTGTTCTGCATCATTCGTGAACGGTAACGAAGGATTGCAGCCATTGGATGGTAGAATACAATTTTACAAAAAAATTATTCATTAAAAGACTAGGGCGATTTGCTTTTAGAAACTGTTTTGAAATGTCAATTTAACTTAATTTATTACGTCCTCGAGATCAAAATCCTGCACAAACATTAGAACCTGTTCAAGTAGTGAGGCAATTTAAGGAAATAAGACGCATTGGAAATGCCTACACAGCCCGAACACTTCTACAATCTAAATCTGATGTTTAATTAGTCTTCCCTCCCCTAAAATACACCAACCCTCGAATTTAGGATGAGTATGGTGTCAAACAGACCTAGACATGTCTAGTTCGTCTTTTTTCAAACAATCTCATGCACACAAAGGGCCATGACTTGGAATGAGTATGAGCCGCTTGAAGCAGTAAGGCAATCCCCATTTCATCCTAACCACCTATTTTTGAGGGTTGAAAGCTATTGCGACCAAAGTATTCTGGTAAATTCAAGTTAGTGCTACTTTATCTAAGGTATCTGACTTACCTTGCATTTGAAACAGTCCTCATGCCACGGTTGTTCTAGTGCAGTTATATATGCGTCGGTGATGGGTTTTCGACAGCCACCACACCTTTCGCCAAACTTGGAGTAGTAACAATTTCTAAGCAAAGAACAACGGTACACTAAATTAAGTAGTGCAATACGTTGATTGCTTGTTTAACTCTCGTTTTTGGCAAAGGAGCCGCTTAAGCGCTCCATCATTGCTATGCCCGTAGCCCCAAGCCCTACCGCGTATCAAATATATATATATATATATACATTCTACCCAAGTATCATGTCTTCAATCATTTCCAGGAAAGTCTCAGAGCGCTACAGTATATTTGTATTTTTATTTAACCTTACCTTAAAAAAACTAGAATTCTTAAGGTAATATGTGCATTTAGGCGTCTAAAATGCCTCAAATGCAACGCTTTCAATCTTCCTATTCAAGCTCACAATTCATCTTAGCGTTGACGTTAATATTTGTTGAGAGAACCTCAGTAATTAGCAAAATATGCAAAATTCTATCACATTTTTATCATTTCATATTCACTTTGGAGAAAAAAATAAATCTATATGAGTGAATGTGACCATTGCGTTTATGTGACAAATCGTCAGCACCTTTAGATTGCAGTCGTGAAATAATGCACTGTAGTGACTAAGCTTACGGGCAGAAGACCTTGCCCTGATGCTCGTGAGCCGTGGCGTTGTCCACGAAGGGTGTGTGGCAGCCCTGGCAGAAGAAGTGGTCCGGGTGCCAGAAGTAGCCCATCGCCTCCAGACAACGCTAAACACAGTCACACGGGTTACCCAACATAGGTGGTCTGTTTTAGTTTTAGTTAAACTAATTTGGGAGTGCTCTGCTCTGCACACTGAAAACTTGTCCCTTTGAGCTCAAAAGTAATTCATTAAAAACTACTCACTTAAAAATGAAGATTAGCATTGAAGCAGATACTAGTCATTTGCCAAAGAAGGAAGTGCGAAATATGTGTATATTGGGTAAACTTTCTTTCCCCCCTGAAGTATAATGTAAGTCTTTCAGTCGCTGCTACGGAATTTAAATGTTCATTGATTCCAATAGCCTTCTGCCAAGGAAGTTGTCCCTGTTAGATGAAATCGGTTCATGCAAGGGTTATGTCCCCTACTTGGAATTAGCCGGAATTGATGCGGACGTGAAGAACTGATTCATAAAATAATCGCAGGTAAAGATTGAGACCAACTAATTTTCGCTAATAGTTGGTCCAGCATTTTCATCGTCGGGAAAGTTACATGGCGGTATTACTTTTCGTTCTCTGGTATTCAGAACCCCTAAAATGGCTAGTGGCAATAAAATTGTCATGCCCTTGTTCTGTTTTGCCACCGTTATTTATGATCTGAGTTGGATATAGAAAAATGGAGTGGCAATTACTCATACACGCTTCCAAAACATTTACAATGATATGATATTTACCAAAACTAGGGAGTGAAAAATAAATCATATTTAAATGGGCTATGCGATTGTGCAAAGCTTGGTGCTAGTGCCTTTCTTGAAACCAGGGGCAACATCTCTTACCTCTGCTACTGTAATATCTCAGGGTCAAGGTGACGATCCTAATCTTGGCCTCAAAACACTATAAGTTTTTGGGATAGACAGCAATTTTACCGCTATTTGCATCATAGCACCTGTGAGTTAACCGCAAAGAGGAGATTGAAGCTTTGACACCAATCAAGTCTAATTGGACACCCAGTGAATGTTCTTTTATTCATTCATATTCAGTCTTCCATTGGCAAAAAGTGTTATTTTAACTTCAAATGTTATGTTTTGTGTTATTTAGAATGTTATTCTAATTATGTGCACTATTGAACTGGATTTTCCAACCACTGCGTGTGAATCTACACATCGAATATGTGAGAATCTAAACTTGCCTCAATGGCAACGCAATAAGAGCATTTTGGTCTTACCCCCAACTGATGTCACCATAGGTAGGGCAGGGCCTGCATTCACGCCAATATACTGGCACCAAAAGCAAGTCCCCAAATTGCCGTTGAGGGCCGTGTGGGGGAGTAGAGGGTGGTAAGGAGTGTTGTGGAACTTACATCGACGATCGCCTCACCACAAAAGGCGCACTTGGGCGCGAAGAGGGAGAGGTGACACTCGGTGCAGTAAGGCGCGCCGTCGTGCTCGTAGAAGAACTCCTCCACTACATTCTTCCGGCAGTACGCACAGTTGAAGTGTTCCGGATGCCAGACTCCTCCCAGTGCCGTTATCACCTTGTCACACAAAAATCAGTTGAGCGAATCAAATTCTATTTTGTAAGCCTGCTAGTAATCAACCAAACGTCAATCCACACAAACGCGGCCTATTACGAGGGACGTTAAAGCTGAGTCGGAAATTTGCAGCTTACAGGCGCACAAAAAGACGTTACGGTTGTGGTATTACACACGATAGCAAGTGTCAATTTTATCCCGTCAAATGCTGGTAGGCGGTGCGCGCTTCATGGATCAGTCTAGGGATGGTTAGTTGAGAATACTGAAAACAGTGATAGTGGGTGGATGGAACATGGTTCAGTCAAGTTTCTTGTAAAAAAAGAGAAAATTCGCACAGTTCAATGATGGAATGCTAAGTCATAGATAGTCACCTGAATGGTGTGAGACTCAAAAAGCGGTTGTCTTTGTGTCAGTGTTGTTCCTAACCTTGGTATTTTACAGCCCACGGCCATCATTTTCCCAAATGCTCGTCGCATGGGGTGCCTAATCTTAAACCCATAGTCAGTTCAATAACTGCACAAGAAGCAAAAAAGTGTGCAAATTGGAAGAGTTGCTGGACCCTGAAACAGTTCACCACAGATGTCTTAGGATGGCTCAACCGTACTAACAAAAGTTTGGCTTATCTTCTAGTCTGGAGGAGTGCCTAACTCCATTTTCTAATTCAAAATACTTGAATTTTACGTACAATTTAACAAATTATCTTATAATATTATTGGCAGTCTGCTTGAGACCAAGCATTTTACCTTGAAAATGAAGATATTAGATACCTACCTATTGCTAGTATTGCCATGTCATATGCATGACAACGTAAAAGCTGATACCTATAGCAATAGATCAAATTGGATGTAAACCGCTCATACTGTACTCTTTGGTGGATGATATACTTTTTTATGTTACAATGTGAGATCAGTAGATGATCAAGAATGTCTTGCCAAAGCAAAATCGTACAGACCAACCTTTCCAATGACAGGCTGATTACAGTGTAAGCAGAGGGAACCACAGTAACCCGTCCGTGGCGAGGTTACATCACTGCTATTCGGTCGTGAGGATGTAGAATTGCTGCTGGATTGTTTTCGAGGATAGTGAGTATTATCTGTGGGAGTTTGCTGTCGAGGCTTCGTCACCTCATCCACAGGCTCTTCCACAAAAGCAGAGGCCTTTTGTGACAGGGGACTACGTTGGGCAGAGGGAGACGAGGTTGGTTGCAGATGCTGATTGTAGGGCAATTTGCCACCGGTAGGGGGGTGTTGCTGAAACTAAATACCAAGCTTCTACTTTGGACTCAGAGGTTTCATGTATGAGAGAGCTTTACTTATTAGTGATCAGTAGTTGTAATTCAACCCTTGCGAATAAAATACCTTAAGTTGTTGAAGCGAGGCCATCAGTTCATCCAACTGCTTGCTAGCATGAGCTGCAGCCTCCTTAGTCTTCTGAGACATGGAATCAATTGCCTCTCCATCAGTTGTTTTCGTTCCATCAGGTAAGCCCACTTCTGACGTCTCGAATTTTCTAAGAGCATAAAAGACTAGTGATTGGCAGCAAATAGTAGCATTGCCTTTTTGTTGTGAAATTCTGTAGAAAATCACAAAAGTGACATCACACTTTCCCCTAAGAAATATGTTGTCCAAATCATGCACAACTCTCTCAATTTCCAAACAACGTTTCAGTTAATGTAGTTTTAAGTAATCTTGGTATTGTACACGTGGTTCGAAACTCCGCTTGGTCAAATGCATAATTGTACATTTAAAGTATTTAATGACCCATGTATGCACTAAGAAGGAGGAGACCAAATGTTCAAATTTGAGTAGGAATTCCTCCCATTAATTTGGGATGCAAACCAAAGCGGGAAATTAGCTCGGCTAGAAATAATCGCCTAATTTTACTTAATAGCGTCAATGCTTAAAATATTGAGACCGCTCTCAAGGGTAGCATGCGTTACAATAGTAGATAGCTGAACTTTTTCCCGTGCTGAAATTCACATGGTGAAAACCGTTTGTGTATGTGTAAAGTTAACGCTTGGTAAACAAACAGGTGAAAAGATCAGCGTGCCGAAGAGCCTCCATGACATTCCGCGAAATGGCACACCGCTGCCGGGGCGTTTAGTCATCGCATTCTGCTATATCTGGGCCGCTGCCTCGGAAAAAGACTGGGATGGTAATCAAAAAATACATCAAATGGTACACTGGACTCGCATTCATTAAAGCATTTCGATACAAATTAGGTTGGCAAATAGTCTACTTCACCTACCACTACCACCTACGACGCAAATTGCGAGTCCATCTGTAAAGCCATTAAAATAAGTTACTGGACCTAGATCTTTGCCACCAGGAGGGCTTTTTTGTTTTGGCACAGAGCAATTTAGGGAGCGGATTGCCATTTTCAAAATATCGTTCGGTCTGGAGTTTACATTTATGCTAAAGGCATTTGCATTTTGACAAATGACTAAAAAAGCTACATCATTTCACAATTATATTTTTCTTTATTTTTCCAAAGAAAAAACGACTATAAAAGCTAACAGCGGAAGTTGTGAAGCTAGAAATTGTGCACTCACTAACTGCAGAAACATAAGATGCCTGGCTGTTGATTCGAGAAAGAAGAGGTGGTTTTCATCACGCAACCCTTTACTCTGTTGATATCGAACACCTAAATGTTTATACCTCTACAGGTTTGATGAGGTAAACCCGGAGAGATGCTGTCGTTTATCGTGACAGTCAAGCCAATTTGAATGAAGGTACAACTGCCAACCACCACCGAGAGCTCTATCGGAGTGCCTACAGGGGTTACAATACTCTTGCCTTTACTTCGTTTAACAGTGCCTTTCTGAGTTGGAATGCATTAGGAATTATTTGGGAAGGTGACTGAATTTTTAAATAGAGCTAAGCTGCTAGCGGTGCGCATTCTTAACTAATCGACCCAACAGTCCCCTTTCCGTAGATAGCGAGGCATGCCGAGGTGGAACAAATGCATTCGTCGCTGTGTGTATGCGTATGCATGGGTAGTGTGCAAATGTACACACGAAAATATTTCAATGAGTGTTGAACTCGTTGCAATGTGATTAATCAAAACAAGGCAAAAAAAAACTAGGTAAAAAACAGTTTCTCCAGTTCGACGGTATCTGCATGAACTTGGATTAAACAAATGCAGTGCAACCATCAAATCACTGAGCAATTTTCCACAAAACAAGTTAATCGAATTTATGTAAGATATCACTTTGGAGGCAACTTACTCTGATTTTACTTCGCAGTTGATGCACGGACTGGTGTCTAAAATAATGCAAAATGCCAGGATTTAGTAAGGTAGTGGCATTTATAAGTTATGTTCCGACAGCCCCATGTTCTACATCAAAGTAACAGAAGGGTGGCACGTTAGGAAAGTACTTACATCCAATACGATACAGCTAAAAGCCTAGCAGTTCTTATTTTCACCTTTTTTAGCTTATAACACTCATACAATATTTTTTGATTCAAGCAGTTATAGGTCCGAACCGACATAAGTATCCTCATTTCTTAAAAATGGGAGTCGTAAAATGCCTTATTCCAATATAGGTTCAACATTCATTCATCAGCATTTAAGGTGATGCAAAGCCATAAAACAGACACCAAACCACTGCTGTGATTGTAAAGGTGGTTCCAGAACAGAAGTTGAGAAATTAAATCTCAGAGAGGATACAACTGGATTTCATGATTGCTTACGGCGCTTGGGGATAATTTGATACATTATATAATTTCAAGGCACAAAAGTCAGAACAACTTACAGGAAATGAAACGGAAGTTGGGAAAGTTAAACCCCCTCTCAATAAAATGTTTTATAGTTTGTGTAAGTAAGGACATTCTAGAAATGCTTATGCAACACCCATATAACCACTATTAACGAATTTTAAAAGGATTTTTCAGAACAGTTTGAGCTCGTCAACCAATGAAAATTCGATGAGGTTGGTAATATTAGTTGGACACATAAAATGGGTAAAAAACGGAGGTTGCTATAGTGATTTAAAGAACGCGTAGAAAATACCAGATCTTCGGCCAAAAATTCGGATTATTTGGATCTACGTTGCGTTTGTGTCTTCGATACAAAAAAAAACGGTTCAAATAGTCAGTTTAGTGTTCCCAATGAGTAATTATCTTACCAAAAAGACTCTCGTAATACGAAATGACGGGGGCCGGATATGCTAGCCTTAGTCTTGCTATTGTGTTTCTTCAAGCAGATCACTCATTTATCCCATCAATAAAAAGGAAAAGTGTAAAGCAAAATCTAAGCTACTTCCGGTCATGTGGGCTGACACTCAAAAATCAAATGGTAAATCGTCGTATACGTCTGATGTGTGGAATGGGCGACTACTGACTTACGACGCAGAGACAAATATTTACCTTACTTTGCCTCCTTTGTGATGAAGTGCAGAGATTAGTGCACCCTTAACAGTTATCATGACTTCTAGACTTGCTGAATTTTCAATAGGTTGTCGCAAGGGTGATCAATTTGTCTTAATCCCAGTAATATGTGAACAATACACTAGCTATGTGTTACGGTGTACGAACAATGAAAAGCTGTCGAGCAAGAGATGGGCGTTAATCGTTAAAAAAGTGGCCTTACTAAGGTCTCATGCGGAATTCTCTTTTTAACCAAAAAACGGTAAGATTGAAGATTAATGATCGTCGCGGATTATCTTGACAGTATTAAGCGAAAGGGAGGAAGTAACGCGAACGCAACGGCCTCAAGTAAGCAACCGACAGACAGGTGCGATACCAACACCTATGCACAGTAGATGATAATTAACCTTTTCTTGGGCACATATACAGAGCCTCAGTACGAGGATGGCACGGCAACCGTTTGGGTAAATAGGCCAGAGGAAGGAAGATAACGGGGCAGAGTGAGGTCACGTCAAGCTGGGTGATTCACCACGCCTCTTCCCATGGGTCGACAGGAGAGGCGCCAATGATTCGACCACATGCGGATTTGGGGCAATATAATTCATACTTTGACACCTTTGGTACTTTCCTATTACAAGGCTAGCTAAATGTCAAACACCGAGTTATAGAAGCAAAACATGGAATTGAGACCACCGGTTCATCGCTATTTATCCTTGTATGTGCTTTCAGTCGGAAACAGACAAGGTAGGATATCCCAGTTACATTAACTGTGTTAATTGTTGTTTCATCAGAAGCCGCCGAAGTAAAAAGGTGTAAAAGGAAGAATGTAAGAAAATAGTTTGGCATGCGTTTTTGGAGCGAAATTCCTTGCTTGGTTTGCAGACGAAATGCCAATAGCACTCCGCCTGGATATGAGAGAACAAAGAACGGTTTAAATTTTGATGCACATAAAGCATAACTAATTACGGTAACATTAAGTGCTGTTCTGTTGCCCGAATTGGCCTATCGCTTCAAATTGTACTAATACCTCAACGAAAAATTTCACCTTAATGGTGAAATGCACATTCACATTTCACCACGAGGTAGCTACATTTAATTAGGACTAATCAAATGTTTAGTTCTTGCTGACATATGAGAAGTGAGAAGGATGACATTCTTTCAAATAATGTTCCCAAGGTGATGACACCAGTTTCATGATTTATTTCGCATGTATTTTTAAATATCATGACGAAGTTCCAAGTGCTTCGCTTTCCATTTAACTTTGAAGTCGGAATTTTGAATAATATGAGAACCGAGCATGTATCCAATGCATTCATCACATCAATAACACAGTTTCCATAGCTTATTCCCACCGAATTCATAATTGAAATGAGGATCCTACTAATTATCTGTTGCGTGAGAGCTTCTCAGGCAACAATGTTTAGTCGATGTCAGGTGGTCTGCTTACCTCCAAGTAAATATGAACCGCGGACAAGCATCACCGAGGAAGGATAGAGAAGACTAGACTAGTGGGCTGGAGTCTACATTAGCCAGCTAGCCGCTGCTACTGACAGAGAAATAACAACGTTTAAGTCAAATTTGAAGTTTTATTTGGACGGCTCATGAGAGGATTTCTATAGCCTTTAGCAGAATGTCATTAATCTAATTGTTATTTTAGAATAAATGTTAAAGGTGGTGTTTCATCTGTGCAATTTGTGAAATTCTGTACAAATGTGTTCGGCGTTACCTCGATCCACATTAGAGGCTTATAATTAATAATTCCCCGGTTGCACCACAGGCAGAGGCATGGCCACATCTCTATCGCATTCCCTTTTATCTTAGTTGCATCCAAGAGGCCTCGGTAATTAAACTGGTATATAATAATAACATCAATTCCTCCAAATAGCAATTGCGTTGGTAGACTAGAAAACTGACCGGAATAACGCCCTGTGAGAGGGGACGAGCAATTTTGTTCGTGTCACAAACACATGTTCGGAAAAACACAAATACACACAGATATGCCAGACCGCCAGCGTTGTGGATAATTGTTATTACCCCTCGTATTTGGACGCTATGGAAATTTATGACACAAATGCTGCATTGTGCTAGCCAGAATGCATAAAGTAGGCGTATAAAGAAAATTTCTGTTTTGGGCAGGGTAACAGCCAAGTGGTGAACTTGCTGATCACGTTCGTACATGCCGAGAAAGCAAAAGGTCTGCACGATAAATGATGCTTGACATCTCGATTATAAGGAAAGGCGCAGAAGCAAGACTGACTTAATAATTTTCGCCTCCCTCAAAGCTGCCGAGTAGTGTTAGCAACCAGCAGCTATATTTTAAAACAGACCAACATCTGCGTGGTCTAAACTACACAAAACTGTTTAGTTGCTAGTTGTTCAGAATTTAGAAGCATGATTACCTGTTTAAGGCATTAAAAGGGCTTGATGGGATCGCATTAAAATAAATATATATTGCTTCGCCTACGCTTTATCATATTTTAATCTGTACTTCGAGTAAGACAATAAATCTCACGAAAAGGAAATGTTACCGGAAAACGAAAGATGGGTAGAAGGAGTAGTATCTCTACAATTCTTATCTAAGAGGCATGTAATAACTAAATGACTTGGAGAGGAATTATTGGCACTCTTCAACAAGGCACTTCAATTCCAATCATGCCTATGATAACCTAATAGCCTTTTAGATAAAGCAAATCCCCTAACATTTGGGCAGAAGAACTTCATCAAGTAGTAAAAATACACGGTTTGCAAGATAAGGATTTGCTTGTACAATAGCATCTCGTGCAGCCTTGGTGAAACGAAGTGACCAGACTGTACTCAGGCATACAAAGTTGATCAGAATAGATTAATAAGCACCATCCCACTAAAGCGCATTAGTTACACTACCTATGCTGTCATTCCGTTAAAAAATGATGAAATCAGCAGTGTCGATGATGGAAGATTGAACACCAGAGCAGGTAGTTTTTATTAATCAGGTGTGACATCAACTGTCAAATACGTATAACAATTTACCAACGACAAGTTGGCACATTAAGCCTCTACAAATACCTTGTTAAGCTTAGAAGCCCATGTACCGAGTTACTAATAAGAATGGTATCCATTAAAGGGATGCTGTCAACATAATTACGCTAGAAACATTCAACGAACACTGACCCCATAAAAGCCTAATATCTTGGATTTCTTTACGCTTTGTTGTTCACAAATAAAGTAGAATGGTGAATTAGTGCTGGCATCCTTCCCGATAGCGCTTGACTCAGTGACGGATTGTGAAATCGCTCACAATTGACCTGGATCAACATGTTGGTTGCGGGACAATTCATACCAATTCAGGTTTTTTAAAAAGGCATGCTTATATGTAAAAAATGATAAGGGTCTTATGAGACATTTTGCCAAGATTTTACTGCACATATTGCTCTTTAAAATTTCGCTAAAAGGAAGTCAGTCAAAATGACAAATGACGACTACGCATTAATTGCACAACGAACAATGCGTTTGAGCCAAAGGGTGTGTTTCATGCTCAGCTCCAGTGACACTTCGCACTCGTTGTGACTGACTTGTGCATGAGGCAGGAGCACTGCATGACTGAGGGATCGCAGGGTGATCAATTAGGTAGGTCATCGAAGTCCTGCAGTGAGGTCCTCAAAATGTAACAGTCAAATATCAAAGTAACTAGGCCTTGCAATGCTGTTTGCTTTAAGGAAAGACTTCGCAGCCGAGACTTAAAAAGTGCCTTAGGCCTTAACACTGGGAAGTGTCGGTTAAGTCACACTTTAATCAGGTAAACAATCTATAAAGAAGTCGTGCATATAAAGAGAAAGGTGGCCGTTCGAAAACCTACATACGATCTAAGTTAAGGCTCTCTGCTGTAATATGTAGGTGTGGAAATTAGTTTTATTTCGAGAACTTAATAGCAAAATTTACAATTCTTGCGTACAGATTTAGTCTAAAAACGATACCTTATAAGAGTAGTCATGACTTAATGACAGCTTTGCCTAAGAATAAATAGAATCATTATATGTACTGGCTAAGAAGCGCCTCAGGCGTCAGTGAATGTCCAATCTCAAAGGCATACGTTAGGTCAGCGCTTTTGCATTTAAAATATCAGTAAGATCTTGACGTTGTTTGAACACTACAATGTAATACCATTCTTAGCCAGCAACAGCAGATGGTGAAATCAACGTTAAGATACAAAAAATAGAATGTGACAAAAGTCATTGCACAAGAAGCTATAACAGTCAAATTTACAGTTAACTGTGAAGGACGATTGCGGATGTATTCTGAGTCCCAGTGTAATACGTTAGCGATTCTTTTAACTCCCAATTTCTGTAACGAGCCACTCAGGCACTCCATCACTGCACCTTCGCCAGGTGAGCTGGCCTCTGGGCCATGCTAATAGCCCCAAGTCGTTCAGTGCGTCGGCAGTACATATTCTGCTCGAGTATTACGTCTTCTTTCGGCTTTAGGGAAGTCTCAGGGGACTACGTTGGTGGCAGAGGAAGGCAAACTTAAGCTTAAAGGACATCTACCCTAATTTTAACTTAGACCCTAACGGAGTGGAAGAAGTGCATATTGGTGCGAAGAGAAGAATCGGCGACGACTCCCAACAAAAGGGCTAAAATAGCCTTTATCTTCGGCAACTACCCCAG